GGCTATAATCAATATGTTTAGGAAAATAACAGCTGCCTTGGAAATAGGCCCTAAGTTCAAGCCCTAATATCATAGCCTCCTTAAATCAATAACAAGTAGAGAAGTTATTAGAACTTTCAAGCTATTAAATAGAGTAAAATAGAAATTCTAAATAAGCATTTAAGTCATTAAGACTGAGATTTCTATGAACTAGTGGTGCATGCACACTATTATTGTGACATGGTGTGATGCCCTCACAATACATACAGGTGCATAAAACAGGATGTGATCCAAGAACTTGCTTCATACACTGATAGTCTTTTGTAGATATTTTATTCACATTTGATTAAAAATTAATTACATTCATTTTCATATCACACACAAATACATTTCAAGTGGATTCGATGATTTTATATTAAGAGCCATAAAAATTTCTATTATAGTTTGGATGATATATATTTGTGTGTGTTCTGATTCTGTGGCTTGAACTCAGAGCCTGGGTACTGTCCCTGAGCTTTTGTTCCTCAAAGCTAGTGCTCTACCACTTGAGCCACAGCTCCACTTCTGGCTTTCTTAGTGTTTAATTGGAGATAAGAGTGTCATGGACTTTCTAACTTGGGCTGGCTTCAAAACATGATTCTTAAATCTCAACCTCTTCAGGTTCTAGAATTACGGGCATGAGCCACAGCTACCTGGTAATCTATTATAATTTTTAAAAGAATCCAAATTCTTTCAGACTTTCATTTTAGCACATGGTAACTGGCAGTGTTTGATGTTAACAAATCCTATTTCTGAGCTAAATTTAATTTTAAAATTACTTTGGTTTAGAATTTAATATTCTGCCATATCTTAGGGAGTTTACATTTCATTGAAGACTTTTAGACAAATTAAAAAGCAATATAAAAAGTAGTACCTTTTTCTATTAAGGCAATAAATTAAAGATTTCTCATTTTATTTCCTTTTTAATGTCAAGCACAGCATAAAATTTTGAGCTTGGACAGATATTCCTTTTTTCATCTGAAATTGGAAAGCTCTCCACCAATATCAGTATACACAAAGCTCAAGTTGATCAAGACCTTGAGGTAATTTACAAAAGTGTCTCATAAGGTGCAAACTGGAACCCTTTCATTGTCTTCCATCTTAAGACTAGTTACTGCAGCAAGAAGGCTAAACTAATGATTCCATGCTTTTTATATTTGAGCACATGGACTTAAATCACTGCCCTTGAAGCAACGTAGTTGAATGTCCTCTTAATTATTCATCTTTACTTCCATTTTTTGTTGAACTTCAGAAGTTTGAGGAGAGAGAGAGATCAATAGTTCTTCATACTTCTAATAATCTTGCATTTAAAAAATATAAATAGATGTTCACCATCCATGTTCATTTTGCCTTCTTTCCTTTTTAAAAGTTAAAGCCCTTTATCCAGCCAGGTACCAATAGTTCACACCTAAAGTCCTAGCTACTTGGGAAGGAGAGAATAAGAGAATTACTATTCAAGGCCAGATTAGACAAAAGTTTGTGAGCTAGTACATATATGGAATCTCAGTTGTGGTAAGATAAAAAGTTCCAAGGAAGGCTGAGATTAGATAGATTGCAGTTCTAAATGTGTTCCTTGGCAGGAAGCAGGACTTTGTCTCAAAAATGGCCAGCAAAATTTACCTAGATGGTCACAAACAAGACCATACTAAAGCTACCAGCACAAGTATGTTTATCGCAGCATTATTCACCATAGCTAAGATATGGAACCAACCTACATGCCCCTCAGTAGATGAATGGATCAAGAAAATGTGGTATTTCCATACAATGGAATTCTATGTCTCCATCAGAAAGAATGACATTGCCCCATTTGTTAGGAAATGGAAAGACTTGGAAAAAATCATATTAAGTGAAGTAAGCCATAGGTCTCATGGTTTCCCTTATTTGCAATAACTAGTATATGTCTAGGATAAGCAGAAAAGGTCAAAAGCTATGTACATATGACCATATAGGATGATGCTAAGCGAAATGAACCCCAAGATAGGGACACAAGAAGTCTAATCTTTTTCTTGCTGTTGTTTTTAATGTACTATCTGTTTTTTGTTGTTGTTGTTGTTTCTTTTGTATGTTCTTCCCTCATGGTATAACCCCTGTTTTCACTGTATTTGCTTCCAGTGCCTTGCATCTTGTATATAAATTTTTCTTATTTGGGGAGGGGAAATAACAAAATGCTGAAATAAGGATACAGGTTGACCCATTGTAACAATGAGATGTACAAAACATTATGTTGAAAATGAACTTTACAGCTTCAGGGTAGTGGTGGGGAGGAGGAGAGGGAAGAGATGGTAAGGGAAAAACAAAGGAGGGTGTAACAACATTCTATAGGAAATATATCCTTACCATACTCATGTAACTGTAACCCCTTTGTATAGTATCTTTACAATAAAAATATATATTAAAAACTGGCCACCAAAAAAATAAAGGGCCTGGAGGTGCGACTGGTAAAAATACCTGCCTGGCAAGGTCAAAGCCTTGAGTTCAAATCTGAGACCCATCAAAAGAAATAAAAGGTATTTTATCAAAAAGAAAACCATAGCCATCCCATAATATTATGACAGAATATTATGACAATTGTATTGTTAGGCAGTTTAGTGCTATATGAACATCTCAGGATGTACTTTACCCACACCTTTATGGCATATGGTTAAAATGACTTGGCATGACTTCTTCAAGCAAACAGAAGACATTGTATACATGAGGCTATGAGTCTTTCTTTCAGATCTACATTGTAATATTTTTGGGGATAGGGGTAGTGTAGTACTGGATATTGAACTTAAGTTCTGATGCTTGTTAGTAGGACTTTTCTCCTACCAGTTGACAACAGGGTCTTCAGCACTATACTCCATTATTAAATCCTGTTGTCTTGTACCCTCAGTTATATCAAGAATCTGACCACTACCTGTTACCTTAAACAGGATCCAAGCTACCATCATCTCTCACCAAACTTTTCAATCTCCTAAGTTACTATTAAAGACAAGTCAGCTGGCATAAGCAGTTAGATTATGACACAGATTGTAAGTTTCTGTGATTTCTTTCATACAAAGTAGAACCCCAAATCCTTTAACTAGTCTAAGTCCCATAGTCTAAACCTACATCTCTGACCTGCTATATTAGTTGGCTTTTGTCACTCTTGGCCAAAATAGCTGACATAAACAGTTGAAGAAAGTTTCAGAGATCACTTGGCCCCATGTACTTGGGCAAAACATCATAGCAGTAGGAACATGTGGAGCTACTCATGGCAAATAGAAGAAGCAACCAGGGGACTGGTATAACCTTCAAACCCAGGCCTCCAGTGAGCTCCAGCAAGGTTCTTCAGCAAAGGTTTCCATACACAGATGTCCCTTATTAGATGAATGGATCAAGAAAATGTGGTACATATACAAAGTGGAATTCTGTGTTCCCTACCATTCTTATTTTATTTAATACTTATTTTTCTATTTTGTATCATTATCTGAAGAATATATAATTTGCTTTCTTCCCTCTACATGTACCTATAAAGTCAGTTTCAAAAAGGCAAATATTTTTAATAATTTGTACATGTTAATTTTCAACACTGAAGATAGCCAGGCATATGGTAATTGCTTAGTAAATATCTAACAAATTAGTTTACTAAAGAGCAAATGTATAGATGTGAGCCTGATTGTTAGGAACTATCATTTAGCAAACCTCAGTTATGCTCAGCACTACTGTCTACCCAGGCACAGACCCTGTTCCTCAGCTGACCTGACTGTAGCTGAGCCACATGAAACATGCAGGTAGGTTGCATATTTGGCCTTTTTCACTCATACTCTGCATGGAAAGTTTAGAGTAATTGCTGGAATATGTCCATTTTGCCATCTATAAGCAGATATCTTGCATTATTTATGCATTTCTACTCAGAGAAGAAGATAACACACCTCTTAATGGTTTACAAACATAGTCAACTTTCCTATGAGCTATTTCTTTACACTTGAAATAATGGTCTTAATCACAGAATTGTCTGATAATCCTATGGATCACTATATGGTATAGTTCACTTCTCACTATTTAGCCTACCTAACTTAGGATCAAGAACTAATGGAAAATAAAGTGACCAAATACAGATTGCTATGTGCCAGAATGGAGAAAAACTTCAGCTTAAGAATGCATTGCCATCATGATCATGGAAAGGGAAGACTGTAGTATCTCACCATTGAATGGCCCTGAAATAGCCTTCCAAACTAGTAGAAACCAAGTGTAATTGGTATTATCTTTTTCCCAAACTATTTAAGCATCCCAATTATTTTATTCAAATCAACACTGAATTATTATAATTGCAACTTTAAATAAGTAACTATAGGGGTGGCAGTGTATCTCAATGACAGAGCACTTACATAGCATGTACACAAAGGCCTTGGGTTAAAAATCAACATTTATTAAATGCTAAAATTCTAAGAACAGAGAGTTTATCTAATGTTGACCTTCCTTCTTGTTTGTATGATTTGTGGATGTGTTACTTGATGCATATATTTCATTTATAGGTGTATATATTCTATTCGATTTTGTTTGTAGAAGTCTTTCGAGTTTTAGAATGCTTATATTTGTTGTACTCAAGTAACTTTTTTTCCTTTTGAAGTATTACTTGCAAAAAAGTATATATACTCTTAATCTAACTTGTATAACTGTATATCAACTTTATAATAACAATTTTTTTGGTCAGTCATGGGGCTTGAACTCTGGGCTTGGGCACTGTCCCTCAGCTCTTCAGCTCAAGGCGAGTGCTCTACCACTTGAGCCACAGCACCACTTCTGGTTTTCTGGTGGTTTATTGGAGATAAGAGTCTCACAGACTTTCCTGCTCGGGCTGGCTTTGAACCACAATCCTCAGATTTCAGCCTCCTGAGTAGCTAGGATTACAGGCGTGAGCCACCAGTACCTGACCAATAAAAAAAATTTGTTTGTGTTCAGACCACAGAATATGGCCTAATGAATATAAGAATTTTTCATCTTTTCTCCTCACATTTCAGACACTAATATCTGGAGCTGTAGTAGAACAACTTGACTTTCTAAGAATCAGTAACACAGACGAGTAAGTTCCTTTGGTTTAATTTTGTTTTTGCATCTCTTGAGATCACATTTGAAAAAGAAAAAATCTGAAACATTATGTTTTAATTTCTAGGCTTCCGGAATTTAAGAGTTTTGAAGAACTAGAATTTCCCAAACATTCAAAAGTTAAAAGACAAAGCAGTACCCCTGATGGCCCTGAACTGAAACAACAACCAAGCATCACCATTAGTGAATGGAAAAACAAATCAACCCAGGAAATTCTTCAAAAGCTGAATGTGAGAGAGATGCAATTTCCACAAGGCCCTGTGTGAGATTGCCAGACAGGAACAACCAGTCAGGCCTAATATTTTCTATCCTGTCAAAGAAGGTGGCAGGCAATCTAGATGTAGATGGCCACTGTACACTTAGAGCAGAGAGATGCTTTTTTGTCTTAAGTGTGATTGTCTTAAGGAGTAGAGATGAGTGGGATTGTATGTGTTAAGGCAATGACATTGCCTTTGAGGTCTCTGGATTTTTTTTTTTTTTTTTGGTCGTGGGGCTTGAACTCTGGGCTTGGGCGCTATCCCTCAGCTCTTCAGCTCAAGGCGAATGCTCTTCGGCTTGAGTTACAGCGCCATTTCCAGTTTTGTAGTGGTTTATTGGAGATAAGAGTCTCACAGACTTTCCTGCCCGGGCTGGCTTTGAACTGTGATCTTCAGATCTCAGCCTCCTGAATAGCTAGGATTACAGGTGTGAGCCACCGGTGCCCGGCTTCTCCAGATTTTTCTTTCAGTGTCTCTTTTCTTCCTTTCATGTTCCCATCCTGCTTTTACTGTTTAGGTCCCAGGCTTGCTTTTTCTCTCCTGTCACTGAGGAGAGCAGACCTCTGACTGCATCATAAGGATATTTTAGCAATCTAATGTTTTAACTTTCTTAAGATTGTTTACATTTAAAAAAAAGAAGGGTGTGACTAGCATGTAGTACTTATTCAAGGATGTGAAATCCTACTGGTATAAATATGAAAATTGTGGCATCTTATGTGGACCATACAGATTTACACACATAAACTAGGTACATATCCTTCCAGATGTCATCAGTCTTTGGTATTAATCCATAGTATATAGATCTGAGTAAGTGTGAATACAATATAATAGTCATAAAACACATAGCGCAATGCCCTGAAATATATAATACATATATAATACATGTCTCCACCTCTCATGTACATCTCTTCACAATAGGTTGATGTCAGTATGGTCTCCCATTTACAAATAAGTAAAATTAAGAATACAGTAGTAAGATGCCGGTGGCTCACACCTGAAATTCTAGCTACTTAGGTTGCCAGAATCCAAGGATCACAATTCAAAACCAACCTGGGAAGGAAAGTCCATAAGACTCTTTTTCTTCCATGAGACTCTTAGGTCCAATTAACACCAAAAGGTGGGAAGTGGAGCTCTGGCTCAAGTGGTAGAGTGCTAACCTTGAGCAAAAAAACACAGGGATAGCACTCAGGCCCTCCTTGAGTTAAAGCCCCAGGACTAGCACACAAGAAGAAAACAAGAAGGAGGAGGAAGAGGAGATATGATGATGATGCTGATGATGCTGATGATGATGATGATAATAGTGATTTATGATGAGAATAACTCAGGTGACAACTTGATCCCCATCTCTCAAGTTCTGTAACTATATGAAATCCACAAGGCTGACTTGTCTCTTCTCTACCTCCTTGCCCTAACCTCATATCAAGTTTTCAGTGTGCCTCCAGTTTCTTTATGATGCCATTTTAGTCTGTCTTCTATGAGTAAAACAGTTGTTTTCATCTTTATTACACATTGGAGTCACTGGACATGTTCTTCTAAAGACATTTATTGCCTTAATCCCAGCCACTGTAAAGGGAAATCATTGTAGTAGATGAATTTGATGATGTTAACCAGATGACTTTAAAAGAGGAAGATTATTAGATGGGCCTAACATAGTCACAAGGATCATTAAACATGGAAGGGGGATACAGAAGCTCTAATGTCAGTGAAGCAGAAGATTCCACTCATGGTTGCCAGCTTTGCAGGGGGTGTGGAGACAGACACTAGCCAAGGAACATGATGAGCTGATAGAAGGTATAAGAGGTAAGAAAACAGAGGAGGTGTTTGTAGGGAAATGACTTTCCCTAGAAGCTGCCTCCAGGCGGGATGCAGATGCTAACACCTTAATTATAGTCCAGTGAAACTTATTTCAGACTTTTGAACTACATAACTGCAAGATTATAAAATTGTGTTGTTTTTTAAGAAAATGGTAGTGGTTAAATGATTTAGCAAAGTCTCAGAGTATGGCATTATCACTGTTAATGCTTATAGACAGAATAGTTTCTGCCCATTGCTTATCTTGTTTCCTGGGAAAATTGATTATTAAAACCTCCTACCTCATGAAACCAGCTTAGCTAGCTTCTATCTTCAAATCTCTAAATAAATACTTGTGTAACAAGCATCTCATGCTTGTTATCAATGGAGTTTTATCTTCTCTCACTTCTACTCTAAATTATATGGTTTGGGGACTAGTTACTCCCTGAGGATCACCTTAAATTTGTTTCATCCCAGTTCCTCATACTGATTTTTATTTTCAGGACTGTGGTTGTCTGGCCAGCCAGACCATCCTGCTGGGCATACTACTCAAAAGAGAAGGTCCCAACTTCATCACAATGGAAGGTAAGAGTACATGCTCTTCTGGAGAACATTTTCAATAGAACCTATCCCTGAACACTTATCAGATATGCATATAAAATGCCCACTAAAATGTTATTTCCTCCTCCATTAAACCTCCCCCCTTTTTTAATGGAAAATGTTCATTCACACCCTAGAGTAGAATGAACACTTTGATATATGAGCTCCTAAATAGCTTTCATGCAGTGATGCTTGATTGTTTCTCTGATTGTTTCAGTGGTGCTGGAACTTGAATTCTGTCTGTGACTATTAACCTCTGATGACTCCATAGTTGTTTATTGACTGCTTCTATTTCCAGTTTTATTTAATGTGATTTTTGAAGAATAATATTGAGTAGTTATGTCTATAAAAATTAGGTCCTATAGCAACCATTTGGAATGTAACGTGGCATTTAGTAGAATTGTTCTCTGAAGTTAATAAAATAATCATGTATTTGTTCAGTCTGCATTAAGGATGAGACCAAATTATCCCTGAAGTCCACACTTATATGGAGTTACTATTATAAGGAATTTTTGAGGTCTACATCATGATTTTCTTTGGGCATTTAATAGTATAGAATTAACAGAGTATTTTTCAAGTACTTAATTTCTAGCTATCAGATTTTTTGGCTTATCTTGAAATGCTCTGTTCAAAGGAGCATGTTGGTTTGATTGGAATGAAGATATTGTTCTAAATACCAATGAAATTAATAATGTTACAGTTCTAGTAATGAGCTAAACATAGTTATTTATTCAAATGAAGTCCAATAGTTCTTGCATTATTATAGCAGAGGCAACCTTGAAATTACTAAGCAAATTTCAGATACAACCCTTCATGTTTCTAATTATTCTTAAAGCCACATATAAACAGAATAATAATTATACCAGAGATAGTCATTTGATATTTAAACTTTGGCTAAATGAAAACAAAGAATTTAAAAATTAAACATTTCATTAAGGACTTAGAATTCAGATTAATTATTTAATGTTGCTTTTAAACTATATGTGTGTGTATATATAGTTTATATATATGATATGTATATGTATATGATATTTAAGACTCAAAAAGTTATAAATCTGCGAACCTATGCTACATTGAAAATCACAAGCATCTACAGAATATGAACATAATTTTATCTAATTTAATAAGAGGCTGTAAACATTAGTTGAGAGGAAAATGTTAAAGGAATTGTTCTTCACCTTTATTTTCTTATATGCTCTGTCTTGTCACATTGTTTATTTCCTATAAAACCAGTTATAAGAACAAATCACATGTTAAATGTGGCTCAAGAGTGAAGCCCAGGGGTGTAGTTTTGAGATCCAGCACGTAGTACTAAAAGTCCCATAAAGAAAAGGGCCTTAGTACACTTTCATTGGACAAGCACTTGAAGCATCATTATATTTAGAGTCTATACTGTTTTGTTGTATTCTATTTTCCTATTTTCTACAGTAAGTTAAAATAAACTTTTTATTTAAGAGCTTATATTATATTTCTAAATAAGAAAAGAACTAAATTTCAATAAATGACATTTTAATCAAATCATAAATTCAGAGTAAAGAAGTACAGATGCTGGGACATTTACAATGTATAGTTTGGGTTATGTATTAGAATATGTCAGTTCAGAAGATTAATTAAGGGGTAAAGCAGCACTAGAGGAACAAAATGAAAATTTATGAATGATTTCTAAAGGGGAATAAATACTATATGTTTAATTTTAAAGCTTTCCTCAACCAGCACTCTATTGTCCAATGTCTAGGTACTGTTTCTGATCACATTGAGAGAGTCTATAGAAGAGCCGGCAGCAAAAAGCTTTGGTTTGTATTAGTGTCCTTGTCATTATGTTATATTTTTGTATTGTCATATTCATTAACCTGAAGATAACAGTCCAGTCTTAAAGATGATTATTTATCATAAATCAAGACTCTGAGATTAGAGCACTGTGATTTCCTACTTTCTAAGGCTATGCCTATAGCATAGTGTCCAAAGATAATAAAGAAAAATATCTGAGAATAAACAGCCCCAGAGGGATTAAGACTGTCCCAACAAGGTCCTAATATTATAGCTGTCTGTAATTATAAAGGCCATGAAAAGAGACCATGACTAATCTAATTCCAAGGGAAAAGAATACAAGGTAGTTTTTTTATTCACTAAGTCCACAATTGGTGGATGAAACCCAATGGCTTATTTTTTTTAACTAGTCCTGAGGCTTGAACTCTGGGCCTGAGCACTGTTCCTGAGTGGACAGTGGAGCCACAGGTCCATTCCAGCTTTTTCTCTGATTTAATTGGAGATAAGAGTCTCATGGACTGTCTTGCCCAAGGTGGCTTCAAACTTCCATCCTCAGATCTCAGCCTCCTGAGTAGTTAGGAGTACAGCATGAGCCACAGGCACCCAGCTACTGTGGGTTTTTTTGAAAAAATACTTTCTTCTACAGAGGTTATCTCTTCCCAGAGATTTAAAAAAAAAAAAGGAAATTTAGTGAGAGATTTCTAAATTCACAATGAGGAGGAAGGTATGTCTAAATGCACAATCTGCATTTTGATGCAATTCTAACAGTTTCATTAACAGAATCTAACAAATGTTGAAAGTAAGGATATGGTTTTTTTTATTTTTAATGACCACTATTTCCTTAACTTTCTCTAATCTCTAAAATAAGGAGACTAGACAAAACAATCCCTTAATAGTATTTGAGCTCTGTTTTTAAAATAAGCATGCCTTCCCTACCTGGAAGAAATAATATAATAATTTTATGGTTTAAATAACTCATGTTTCTACCCTTAATTTTCAGTACAGCAAGGCTTACAAGCCAATAGATATTTCAAATATATTTCAAATATTGTCTGTAATCTTACTTTTAGCCAAGAAAATCTGTTCTTGCTTTCTGCATTATACTTGTATTTTGGATGAGCCATTAACTAGCAAATACTTAGAATGCTGACTGTTATGTTTAAGAGAACAAATTCCTGCAAGTTTTATTCATTCTATTTTCCCTTTCATGGCTTTCCACTGATACCCCCAGGTTGGCCGTGCGCTACGGGGCTGCATTTACCCAGAAATTTTCTTCCTCTATAGCCCCACACATTACTACTTTTCTGGTACATGGGAAACAGGTAACATAACAGAATTTGGAAACTCAAGCTGCTTGAAATGTGTGGGCTTTGCACTCTACAGGTTTAATGTGGGGATGAAAGCTTTTCTAGAAGTAGAAACTGCTTTCCTAACTGTATCAATGATTGGCTTACTTTTCTTCTAGTCCATTTATGTTAAAATGAAGAAAGAGGGATGCTTTTTATAAGCTCACTTCCATGGATATCCTAAAATGCAATTTTAATACTAATTAAAACATGTACATTATTTTATTTTCTCTACCTAAATGTTTCACATGAATTTTTACTTTTGAGGGGAAATAATGTCTTATTTATTGCATGTGCTATATTTCTTTTAAAATCTGTTCTTCCTACATTCTAAGAGTTTCAGGAATGTAAAAATAGCAGTGTGAATTCTTTCTACTAACATTCTGGCTTTATAAAGAAAAAGAAGCTCCTGGTATTTCATTGGAGCACTTTCTATTATTTAGTACTAAGTGAGTCCTTTAATCTAGTGATTTCATTATCTAGGGACTAAAAAAATCATTATTTAAAGTGGTGGTAGTTACAATTCACATCTACTAGTGATAGATTTATAAATTGATTTGATCATGCAAAATCAAAGGATCCACTTAATTCCTCCGTAGACTCTCCTACCCCATCCCAATGAAAGAAGCTCCCGTTCTTTGCAAATGATGTCACCAGTTGGTAAAGCTTTGTGGCAGTGATGAGGGCAAGGGGCCATCCCTTCTTAATTCTAGATGGTCTTACAATCTGGAATACTTCCAATATTAGGTTCAATATCTTGGACTTAATGTTTCCTCCAAATAATAACATGAAGACCCAGCTGTGTATGTTTGTAAGGCTCTCCAATCAGGGACCCCATTCATCATCTTTTAGATTTGTGAACATCTGGCCTGCTCTCTTCTTTGCCCCCAGGTCGGTTGTACGCCGTGCAGCAAGTCTTTTAAGTAAAGTAGTGGACAGCCTGGCCCCATCCATTACTAATGTTTTAGTGCAGGGCAAACAGGTAAGTTTGTCTGCTTCCCAGACACCCACTCACTCACTCACTCAGTTACAAAGGTTTCTGGTAGGACTCTGAGTTTAAAATTTGCCATACTGCAATATTAGGCCTCTCACAAATTACCATTGATTTGGGCAGTTCTTCAAAAGTCTCCCTCTCCAAACAAAAAATAAAAAATAAATAGATGCACAGGTCTAAAGCTGCACAGTTATTAAATGGGCTATCCTTTTTTCATATTGTACCTCAAAGCTGTAATTTTCAACTCCTTTGTTAAATTTGAGATTATTGCAGATGTCAACATAGAACAATACCTACGCAGTACTCAGACAAGTTTAGGATAGGCAGGGCAAAGGCTGGTGCATAGCAAAGGACACATTTTCCCTCCTTATATTTCACCTTCTCCTGACCCTTCAAAATGCATTGGTGTTGAAGCAGAGCCAGAGTCCACATGTCAGTGCTGCTCCCAGATCCTTCATTCTCCAGGCCATCCCCTGCTATTCCTCATCAGAGATAATTTTGTAACTTCCCTCTTATAGAAGTTTTTCCAGTTAGCCATGGTCAGTTTCCTCTGGACTGAGCACTTTCTCAGTCTGCCCATTTCATTTGAACATGTGTTTCTCAGTTTGTGATCGGCTGTGAGCCCCTAGAGATCAGAGCCTAGGTCTTATCCAATACCCATATCAGTGTAGCCAGTGTGGGGTCTGGCTTGGAGTAGGTTCTTGTTGAAGGTAGGTTAAGTTGAGACTGTGCATGTGGGTATGAGGAGTGGGATGTGACTGTGCATTATTTGTTTTGTGTCCTATAATCTCTAATTTCCTGGCTGAATCATTCTTTGATTAAAATGAAAAGCCATTTGCTTTCTCCTTTGCTTTTACTGTGTTGTACTGACAGCTAACCTAGAATTATTTTTAAAAACTGTAATGTTTATACTTTAACCTGTTTAGTAGAATCAACTAGTTGCTCATATTTGAAGGCTCTAAATTAAGATGAAAATTATTTTATCCTGGTATCCAGCTTTTAGAATGTTAGGTTAATATTTATTTTTATTTTAATATTGAATATCAATAAAATAATTTTACTAATAAAAATCTCCTGAAAAAAAGGTTATTTTTCACATCTATTGTTTTCTTTGTGTTCTCCAAATTATTTAAAGGTAGAATTTTTGGTCAGTGTTAAAGTCTATTTTTATTTCAAATTTTAAAGTTTTTTTATAAAATATGTATAAGTTTTATTATTTTTAACCTTTCTTGTTTTTGGTCCCAGTAATTGAACCCAGGTCCCTTGTACATTCTCTACTATTTAGTAATGTGACTCACAACAGTTTTTGCTATTGTAAGCATATAGTTCATGGAATGAAACACATTCACATTTTGTGTAATTACCATTACCATTACACTCAAAACATTCTCTTTTTCCTTAACCAAAATCCTGTAACTATTAAATAATCTGTCTCTGTGTCTCTTCCCCTGACCATGAAAACTTCCATTCTACTTTCTGCCATGAACTTGACTCTCCTGGAGACATAGATAGATGTTCAATTCCTAGTTGTCAGCAAAAGCAGATCAAGGAACAGGAAGCCAGTAATAAAATGCCTTTTCTTACCAGAATCTTTTTCCCCTAGCCATATAGTCTTATGTTATTCCTATAGACCATTCCAGTTGTGAAAGAAAGTTCAATGATGAGAGACTATTTTCCTTGACTTGAGGTCCCTATCTATGGTCAATCAATTAGTTGCTAGTATTTGAAGGCTCTAAATTAAGATGAAAATTATTTTATCCTGCTATTCAGCTTTTAGAATGTTAGATTAATATTTATTTTTATTTTAATAGTGAATATTAATAAAATAATTTTACTAATAAAAGCCAATTGTCTTTCAAAAGAGCCTTCATGAGGTTTTGGACCTCACACTAGAAGAAGTGGGCAGTTTAGATTGGCCAGGTCTCTTCTGTACAATATCAGCAAGGTGCTTGCAATCTGTATAATGAGGCCCTGATCCTGCAGCTCAGAAGCCTCAGAGCTTGTGGCTGTGTCTGGATCACTGCGCATCAGCACATCTCCAAGGGAAATAATCACTTACTTGCTCGGTAAGCTTGGGGGTGGGGGGGAGGGCAACAGATCAGCTTCATGACCAGTACATAAAGTCCATGCATTGACTATATCTTAGCCCATTACAAGAAAAAAATGGAGCAGTTTGCATTAACTCATTTATGAAATGCCACCCTGAAAACTAAAATACCATGGGTCCTGTGAGAGATTTTCACAAGCACTTTAAAAACATTAGGTACAGTTGTTTCTCCTGCCTCTTATACTGTGCATAAGAGATGGAAAGAAGTGATAAGGTGGAAGGAGCTTGTTGATTCCTGGAAGTCTGAGGAGGAAGAGACCCAAGGGAGAGACCACAGCATTCTCCTCCATGGCACTACTTTGAGTTCCCTTTTCCTGTGAGCAACCTCATTCATTCCTGTGCACAGGTCAGGGATTATGCATCAGGAATTTTAGCCCTCTATACATTGCTGACATTATGCCAGGGGAAGTAAGGGGTATATTACTTTGCACCTGCCTTTGAGCAAGTGGCAGTGTTGTTGAAGAGTAAAAGTTTCTACCTGAGCAACTGTAAAAGTTCAAATACTGAATTGTATAGCTTATGCAGTAAAATAAAACTTTCAGTTATTCTGATTCTCTGGAGAGTTTCTAATACTAAAGTCATTCCAAATTTTTTTGTCTTAATTATTTCCATCCACTCACCTTCACCCCCCTAACACCCTCACCTGCCCTTATATTCTAGTCTAGACTATGAACCACCATGAACTCCAGTGGGAGCCATGCTTTCAAAGCCATTTTAATAAATAGCAGGAGCAGTTATTCAACCTAATTTCCTAGCTGTGTAGGGCAATTTCAGCCTGCCAGTCATCTTGAGGTTTGAATTTTTTTTCTTTTATCTTTCAGTGGTTAGGAAATTTTTACAATAAAATTCTGCCACTTACAGGTAACTCTGGGTGCCTTTGGACATGAAGAAGAGGTTATCTCTAATCCTTTGTCTCCAAGAGTGATTAAGAACATTATCTATTATAAGTGTAATACCCACGATGAGAGGGAAGCAGTCATTCAGCAAGAACTGGTCATCCATATTGGCTGGATCATCTCTAATAACCCTGAGTTATTTAGTGGCATGCTGAAAATACGAATTGGGTGAGTGAGTACTTTGTATTTGCATAAAGAAAATTGTTCAAGCAGTCCTCAAACAAACTTGGCCTTTCCATATGAAGCAGTGTTCCAGGTATCTGGTGGGTATTTCCAAATGTGCCTCTTTCTCCTAAGCCATGAGGCAGCATCTGGTATACAAAGGAATAAATATCAGTTGCCTAAAAACAAAGTATGTTTATTTAATTCCCTCCCCAGCCCTTGTTAGACATATTGAAGTAAATGCTCTCTGGTAAAAATCAACTCTAGTAATATCAGTCTGTAAAGCACTAAGCACAATATTTGTAAATAATATCTATAAATAAAATGGGCAAGCTCGTAAAAGATTCTCAAGTAAAAATTGGTGTCAGCAGACATGCCCAGATGAAAAAAAAATTTAATATTCTTCACTCATTTTCTACTGAAATCTAATGTTTAATTTTTATATCATAATTTTTGAACTAGACTCTTCTTATCCAAGAATTTTGTGAGGAAATATGTGTGCTATAGAGAAATTTAATTGAGCTCTGGCATTGAACAGAACCAAGTCCAGTCTTTTATAGCTACTTATCATCTCTGTAATCTTGGATAAATAATTGAACCTTTCCAACCTCACTGTTCTATGTAAGATAAAAGGAGATCATATGTTTCAAAAATCCTCTGATAACCTAATGAAGTATATTACATTTATCATATCAATGTATCCTAATTGTAAGAGTATGGTAACATCTGAGCTTATAAAATAGCAAATACTTGAATATGCCGGTTTTTGTTGGGTATAAACTTAAGTGCATATGAATGTGAAGTAGGTGTATATATCTTCAATTAAATAATTGGACTTCGATATCATTATTACTATTTTACATGATGCTTGATTGCTGGTATTGATTTCATAATTTCTCAATATTCCTGTGAATATATTGATTTCACCTGGTCCTTTTATCTGTTCTGCTTTATGTATTTAAAACTTAGTTTTATTACCTTTAGTAGTTATACAAAGGAGTTACCATTTAACAAAGCAGTTTATGAATTTATGTTGAGCATTGTCACCCTTTCGATATTTTCATTCATCTTCTCCTACCTACCACTTCCCTTACTCTTCTTCTCTCTCTTTTTTTGAACTTTGCTTAATCTTGTAAGATATACATTAGATTCTTGACTTCATTTTTCCCCCTCTTCTCTTCATTTGCCTATCCCTTTCTCTTTGACCTCACCCAACCCTTTTGAGTACTCAGTTCCTGGTGTTTTATTTTACTGAACTTTGATTTTGCATTTCTAAAGAGTTACACTATTTGAATTCTCTCTTGAATCTACCAAATTTCAGTTAATACATTTGTATACACTTGTATACCACCCATTGTATTTACTTAGAAGGTTATAAGCTAAATCTAGCTTCCACATATAAGGGAATATATGCATCCTTAGTTTCTCTGGGCCTTAACTTAACATAAGACTTCTATATAAGACTTGATAAATGGGACTGCATCAACTGTTTTTTATTTCAACCAAAAGCATAAGGATTAGTATAATAAAGCTAGGAATATCCATACTATCCCCCAGTTTCAACAGAATCATAATGACTTGTTGTTTGGCAGTGTACATACGTTTTAGTTCTTCCTTTTATTTTTCTAATGATAGAGACTAGATCTTGTCTTTCCCATCTATATCATAGTCTGCCTCATTAGAGATGCTCAATGAATATTTGATTGCTTAATATGTAGTATATAAGCAGATATAGGTAGCTCACCTTAAGGTAGTAAAAGGGAATTTAAGAAAAACGAAAGATAGTCTGCCTTTGTGCTCAAATAGAATTAAAGCATGCTTAAGTTAGACAAATATGCTTAGTTTGTGCCACATAATATTGATATTAAGTAGAAGAGATTCAAGTCATGTCTGTCAGGTAATGACCCGAGTTAAGAGGGTGTTGTTTTATGGAAGCCCAATCCTTCATGTAAAATATATCAAGGTGTAGCACATGTCTCTGTTTACTTACTAGGAGAGTGGTGCAGTTAACGATCCCAAAGTATTACAGTACTGCTTGGATCAGATTTTTATGCCACCATGTTTTAGAAATGACAGCATTCACTTGGTAGAATAAACATAAGAAATAAAGATATTTGCTTTTTTATTTTTATTTTTAAAGTTTTATTATTAAGTAGTTGTACAAAGAGGTAACAATTCCATAAATCAGATTGTGAGTTGAATGCATCAATGTTAACCTCTTCACTCATTCTCCTCCATTATTCCCCCTCCCATTCCCACCTCAAGTTAAGTAGTTCAATTTTTACATAATGAACGTTGAATGTAATGACTTCATTTGTTTACCTTTCCTCTGGTACAACAGAATTCCCTATGCACTGTATTCCTTCCTGATTTAACATTTGCATTTTTTGTTTTATTTTGGTGCTGGTCCTAGGACTTAAACTCAGAGTTTAGGTGCAGCTCCTGAGCTTTTGTGCTCAAAGCTAGCACTGTAATGCTTGAGCCACAACTGTACTCCCAGCTGTTTTGGTGCTTAATTGGGCCAGCTTCAAACCATGATCCTTAGATATCAGCCTCTTGAATAGCTAGAATTACAGGCTAGTGCCTAGTTCCTTTGAGTCTCCCCTCTCCCCACTCACCCTCCCCCCCCGTCAATTTCATCATCCATTGCTTCTGTTACTTTTTAAAGCAATAGGACTATGTTGTAGTTGAGTTTTTTCTTTATCCAAGGTTAATCCTGTCAGTTCAATTTCCTCAATTTTACTGCTACCAGGCTCTCCTGTGAACAAAATTAACCTGCTCACAGAAATAGTATTCTAGTCTGATAATAATTTGATTTGCTGTCTTATTATTGATTTGTGTACCAGCTTTCATGTTGAAATAGATAGGTTCTTGACAGGCCCACTACTGTAAAGACTTCCAATCAACTGCTTTCTGCTGCAGGTCTGTCAGTCAGGCTTCAGTAGCAGATAATCCAAGGATGTGTGTTTATCAGGCCTTTTTCATCTGTATTTTTCCTACTGCCAAGTCATTTCTGTAAGCAATTATTATCTAGACGTAGACTGCCCTCTGATGCCCAGAACTTCATCTGTGGCTCAACAGTCACTGATCAGGGAAGGCCATTGATATCAGAGTTACCAACTCTAGTATTGCTTTTTGAGTACTGGAGGAAAGAAGAGGGAAGACAGCTCCAAATTCATTAGCATAGCTCTGATAGTCATTCAGAAGCATTTGCTTTGGACATTTGATAGATGGTTTTACTGTGATTCAGTCAGGGCAGGAGTGAGTCATTGTTCTCTGTTTACCAAACTATAAACTCAGTTTACCTCATCAGCTTGTCACCCTCTATAGAGTAGTGTGCATCAAGCAATATGATCCCTTCTTGCACTTTCTCATCACCTACTGTATAGTATATTAGTCATCATATGAGTTTTCACAACATAATTCCACAGATAATGTGGCTTAAATAATAGAAACTTACTTTTTTTTCTTTTTGCCAGTCATGGGGCCTGAACTCTGGGTCTGGGCGCTGTCCCTCAGCTCTTCAGCTCAAGGCTAGGGCTCTACCACTGGAGCCACAGCGCCACTTCCGGCTTTTTCTGTTTATGTGGTGCTGAGGAATCGAACCCAGGGCCTCATGCTTGCAAGGCATGCACTCTACCGCTGAGCTACGTTAGGTCAAGGTGCCAATGACTTGGTTTCTTCCTGACTTACACTTAGAGGCCAGAGCTTCAGAGCTCTGGCCAGAGCCAGGGTGGTGATATATAATCCAGTTCATAACATTAGTAAAATGTTTGCATTAAGGGCAATAATCAAATCCTACTTCTTATCTTGAAAAAAATATCAAAACTGTTGTTAAAATTTGTTTCCTTCTGAGAATCAGTGCTATTATTTATGGATTTTTTTAGAAACTATCAGCCATTTGGTTTATGAGTGGTGTCAGATTTCTATGCACTTTATTTCATATTCTACTCTTGGCACATATTATAAAGAAAAAGTCTTTTAAAAATGCTGATACATACAACATTATCCTTGCTAACTGTATCACAGGAGAGTTTTAGAAGAATAAATTTATGTCCAGGATTCCACTGAAATTGTTGTCTGTCTCTTTGTACATTTCTTCAGTCTTGAGGAATTTATTGTTCTGTAGTCCAACCTTGATATGTGTGAAGGTTGACTTGGTCAGTGGTGTGTATCGCCACTGTCTTATTTGCTTATTGGCAAGTAGAGCATGTGTCTGGTTCTTTAGACAGACTGAATTTATAAGGATCCTGGTCCAAGGATAACTGTCATTCTTCTGACCTTTCATGCCTCTTCTTTTCTTTCTTCCTCTCTTTTCTTCCCCATTTTTGCATTTAAGTGCTTTTATTCTGTTATTATCAAACCAAGTTTTTGATTTTGTCAGTAGGAATGAGAAAAAGAAGTCAGATTTTACCTTTGCCTTTTTTATTAGTGGTTCTTAAAATGGATAAAATGATTTTGATTTTCTTAACTGTACTCAGTCATTTCCTTTTTCCAGTTTTTGCCACAGCTGTTTTAGTAGCTTATGTCTAATGTTTTGTTCCTTTTAGTTTTTTTAAAAATCCAAGATATAAACAGGCTAATTTGGTCAGTATTTTTAAAATCAGTGAATGTTTTTAATTAGCATGACAAATCATACTTATGTGTGCTCAATAAGTGAAAAAGTTACCTTTTTTCTTTTCTGACGGATGATTACAAAGTTGACTATAATGGTTCACAGAACTGCTGACATTTTACAAATAGAAGGAAGAAGCCCAAGGGAAATTTTTAGATCTCTGATTGTCTTATTTACAGTAGTAAAAAAAAAAATTAAAGATACCCTGCTTTTTGAAAAAAAAAAAAAGTTTTCCCTTGCTAGTACTGGGCTTTGAACTGCATCCTCCCTAAGCTCTTTTTGCTCAAGGCTATCCTCAGACTCAGCCTCCTGAGTAGCTAGCATTACAGGTATAAGCCACTAGCACCTGGCCTATGTTTAGCTTTAACATCTTAAATTATTGGAAACTTTTAAAAACAAAAAACCAGTGTTACTTAATTCATTGTCATACTTAAAAACCTCTAGGACTTGAATTTAAAATTTATAACACAGCCATGCGCCAGTGGCTGAGGATTATAGTTAAGAGCCAGCCTGGGCAGGGAAAGTCCATGAGACTCTTATCTCCAATTAGCTATCCAAAAAAGCTGGAAATGGAGCTTTGGCGCAAGTGTTAGATCACTAACTTTGAGGAAGAAAGCTCTGGGACAGGGTTCAGGCCCTGAGTTCAAGCTTCAGGAACTTGAATTTCAGAAGTCAAATAACAGAAGTTAGCTAATTATTTTGTGACCTTAGAATCTCGAAAGCCTTTTATATGCATTCTCTTCTTTGTTCCTCAAAATAATTTTATAAAGTAAGTTAAATGGTTTAATACTACTTCTATCTGAAAAACAATTTGCTACTGAAACATCGTTGGTGGCAGAAAACAGTAGAATTATTTGATAAATTTCCATATACCTGCTTTTACATGGTATTGGCTATTGATTTACCGTTTATTTATTTTATTGTTAATATTGTTACAAAGCAAGTCCTACATAGTTTGAACTTTACCCCTTAATGTTTTAGTGAGTGTATGTGATAGTATTATGTGTGTGTGTGCTTAATAAGAATATTTTGAGTTTTAGTTATTTTTTCTTTTTTGACAAGGTCCAAGCTGAACTAAAACTCCTGTCTCTAAATTCCAAGTGCTAGGACTATGGGTATGCACCCCATGGTCATCTAAGGTATTTTCTTAAATGATCACAATACTATTATCATACCCAATTACATTAGCAATAATTCCTTAATATCATCAGATACTCAATTCATGTTCAAATTTTTCTGATTGTCTCCAAAATGTCATCTTTTTTTTTTTTCTTCAGTCGTGGGGCTTGAGCCCAGAGGGCGCTGTCCCTCAGCAATTCAGCTCAAGCCTAGTGCTCTACCACTTGAGCCGCAGTGCCACTTCCTGTTTTCTGGTGGTTTCTTGGAGATTAGAGTCTCACAGACTTTCCTGAGCAGGCTGGCTTTGAACCACAATCCTCAGATCTCAGACTCCTGAGGAGTTAGGATTATAGGCATGAGCCACCAGTGCCCAGGGGCATCTTATTTTTTAATAAGAATCTTTTAAAACAAAGCCCATGCATGACATTAGTGGTTATGCTTCTAGAACCCAATTAACTTTAACATCGAAGCATTCAAAATAACTATGTTCCTCCCACTCTTGTGCTGGTGTAACATTTTCGTTAAATACAATCACTGACACTGAGGTTAGCAAGTAAAGGGAAATCCTAATCTTTGCCAGTAACATAGGCTTAGTCCAGCTTCTGTTTTCAGGCAAAAATGTGAGACTATCTGAAAAACAAACTAAAGCAAAAGGATTTCAATCTTAGTATTACAAAAAATTAAAAATGTAAATAGCCAATTTATAAAAAGAGTTTATTTTTAATGGTTTCCTTTATTAAAATTATCTTCAAGAAGTAAAAGGAATTGCCATTCAGCAAAGCAGCTTATAAAAACATCTTGATCAGTGTCACCTCTTTCAGCATTCTTACCCATCCTTCCCAACCTAGTCCTTCCCTCACTTTTCCTGATTTTGTAAGATATACATGATGGGTTTTCACTGCATTCTCCCCGCTCAATGTTTTCATTTATAGCCAGTTAGCAGGAGTGCCTGATGGATACTACTTATGGTTCATTGGGGGAGGTTCAGCATTTTTAATTCCTTCTTTTGCACTAAGGTATTAAATTTACTCAATGGGGATACATCACTGTTGTTCTGCAAACAAATCCTGGCAAAAAGAAAGACTTCAATTTGCTTACTATATATTCTTTATATTTTTAAATCTCTGGGCTTCCTGTGCATTGTCTTTCAAGGAAGTGGGTCAAGAGAGAGAGATACTATATCTGGGTGCAGCCACATTAATTCCTCACTGCTGTAACTAGGTATTTGTTCCTTTATAGGACAGGCAATGTAGATGAATGAAGGCACATTCATTTAAGATGCACTGTTATTCACTGTTCACCAGAGGATTTAAGGCTACAGCATTGCCATATGAGAGTAATTCTCCTGCTTTTCCTAATAGTGTATAGGTTTTTGGTTACCTAAGGCACAATATTATTTCCAGAGTTTCTATGATTTTTATAACGAGTTCTTTCCTCAGAATATAGTACATAAAAGAAATGAGATGGAACTGCATTTTAAAAGCTTCTCAAATTAAAAAATAAACTTGCTTGCACATAAAATAAATATTTTGGCTATTCCAAAATGCATTGGTTAAAGTACATTTCTTAATGTACACTGTAATTAAATTACAACTAATCACATCTTTTTATTTTGGATATAGACACTTCTGTATCCTCTGCCACCCCCAAAGGATGACTTGCAAAGTAAAAGAAATGAGTATTTTTAAATGTCCATTATATTTCTATAATAGCACAGCCTAGTCCATTTTTCATAAAATGCACTGTTTATGTCCCATTTGTTTTTGCATTTTTCTGGTGTTAAAAATATACTGTGGAAGTTACTTTCATATTATGTATTCTATTATACTGAATTGGTAACATCTCACTGGATAAGATCTTGGTACTTATCTATTTTCATGTCTTATATCCACTACTTATGATAAGCAGCTCTCATTTTTAATAAGAGAGTGGTCCTATCAAACAATCTTGAAAGTGATTATATCAGTGGTTCAGGAACTTGATGGATCAGTGTTAAGGGCATTTTTGAAAAAGAACAAGGTGATTTTATTTCCAGAGTTATCTATTCATACTTCCCTGTTTTGTTTCAGGTGGATCATCCATGCTATGGAGTATGAACTACAGATCCGTGGCGGAGACAAGCCAGCCATAGACTTATATCAACTGTCACCCAGTGAAGTTAAACAACTTCTGCTGGATATTCTCCAGCCTCAACAGAGTGGAAGGTAATTAGGTCCTTTTATTATAGACACATCATGATTTTTACCTTGCTATGCATGTGAAACGAATAAGACACTAATAAAGGTTAAAATCCAGCAGGGCTGGGCACCAGTGGCTCACTCTTATGCTCCTGAAGGTCATAGTTCAAAGCCAGGCCAGACAGGAAAGTCCATGAGACTCTTATCTCCAGTAAACAAACCACCAATAAAGCTAGACGTGGCTCTGTGGCTCAAATGGTAGAGCACTAATCTTGAGCAAAAAAGCTCATGGACAGCACCCAGGCCCTGAGTTCAAGCCCCAGGACCAGAATAAAAAGAAAAAAAAAAGAATTAAAATCCAGCAGAGTATCAGAGGCAACCATACTAGACAGTATAGACAGAGAAAATAATTTGCATATTTGCCTTAATTTATAACTTTGTGTTACTTCAAATTTTATACTTTTCTCAGATATAATTTATAAACCTTTCATATTTTTATTATTTTGTGCAAAATGTGACAATACTTACCACTTTTGTCAAATTCCTTTCTGAAACTTTATAGCCTCTTCTCCCAACATTTGGTGAGAAAGAATTATTTCATATGTTGTCTGTGATTCTGTCTCCCTGTGTAGATTGTCATCTTCAAGGCTAAACCCTTTATAAACTTAACTTGTGCTTACCTTGAAATAAGAGCAGAACAAATAATGGATTATCTTGATTTTAATATTTATTTTTTTTAATTCCAGAATGAGCATTGTTACAATTATTTAAGCAAGTATGTACCAAGCACCTGTGTGCCTGTCATTTTCCAAAGTTAGAAAATACTTAGAAAATTCTGCTTGGACTTTTTAGATACCTACAAAAGTAAATTTGAACAAATGGAAAAGTATTCTTGTTCTTAGAACAGCTAATACTATAAAGTTATAAATTTAGTGCAATTCCAATAGCAATTTAGTATAAAATGAAAGTGGCATTTCCAGTCATTGGGTTAGAAATGGACCTCTTAAGTAAATAGTGATAGGACAACTAGGTATCTATTGGCAAAAAGACAAAAGAAAATACTTTATACCACTACAAGAATGAACCCTATGTAGATTAGAGATCTATATGTCAAAATGGAAGTGTACAAATACTAAAAGACACTGGTAAACTTCCTTTTAACCTTGGCATGGGAAAGGCCTCCAACTAGGACTCAAGCCAAGGACAATGAAAGAAAAGATAATAAAATCATATAAGAATGCATACCAAGCACAAGGTCCTGAGTTCAAATCCTGGTATCACCAAACAGAAAAGTTTTGTTTGTTTGGTTTTCTTTTTTGGGGGGGAGGTGTTGTCTGTCTGTTTTGGTGCTAGTACTAAAGGATTGCACTCTGTCTCACCAGGCTTTGTATTCTTACTTGGCTTTTGTGCTCAAGGTTGGTGATCTACCACTTAAAACATATCTCTACTTACAACCTTTCTCTGGTTACATAGAGATAAGAGGCTCATAAACTTTTCTGTCTTGGCTGACTTTGAACCATGATCCTCATAGCTCAGCCTCCTGAGTAACTAGGATTGCAGATATAAACCCCCAACTTAAAAAAAAATTAAATAATGGACATCAATTTGATATATTTTTCCAGGTATTTCACACACACACACTTTATATACATATATTCACAGAATTATTTTTCTTTTATAAAAAGTGGATAATATGTTTGTAGCTTATTTTATTTTGTTTTTTATTTATAAATGCTGGTATATAAAACTTTATTTTGTTCCTTATAATGGCTCCACAGAATTTTATTATATTTTTTAATTATCTAAGAACATACTACATCATGTCTTCTTTAGAAAATTACATAGATTTTGCATCTTTGGAACTTTGTTGTCAATAATGTGTTACATTTTTAGGATTTAATACTTAATTTATTAAAATAAAAGATCTCAATATCACTATGTTCAGTTATTATTATAACATTTAGCATTTTGTATCTGAGCTGTACACAGTGGCTGAGGCCTATAATCTTAACTACTTGGGTGAAATAGATTGAGGGATTGAAGTTTGAGGCAAGCCTAGCACAAAACTTCATGACACTCCATCTCAACCAGTGCTTGGGCAAGGGAAACACAAGCCTGTTATCCCAGCTAGGGAGAGCACAATGGCTGAGCAAGGTGACATAAGCCTATCAGCCCCAGGGAGGACAGAGCACAAGTAGAAGGATCACAGCTCAATCCAGTGCATGTACCAAGCAAGACCCTACCTCAAAAATAATCATACAAAAGGTGTTGAATGAGTAGCGCAAATGGTAGAGCACCTGCCTAGCAAGTATAAGGCCCTGAGTTGACCTAGTACTGCAAATAAAAGTAAGATTCTGTGTCTGGTTTCTCAACAGTGAGAGTTTAACCATATTTAAATAGCAAACTCATAAGGTTTAAAATTGAATGATTTTTTTTCAAGTAACTAAGAAAAACCACTCACAAATACTTTATTTTAGGAAAATTTCATGTTAAGACAAAAGTCAAACTAGGACATGCTTACAATATGTTTAATTGGAAAATAATTAATTTCATATAAAATTACTTTAAATATTCACATTAACAAAAGGAAAAATTATAAAAGGATATAGAGACATAATTTCACAAATAATAGGTTAAAATGAAACTATGTCTAATCTAGGTATCAAACAGGTAAAAATCAAAACAAAAATAGGGTTGTATTTTTACTATAAAACTGAGAAAATAAGAAATGGATCATTTTAAGTACTGTGTGGGAGAGTTCTTACTCTGTTAGACCCTCTTGAATATTGAATGATCTTATAATAATGCTTTTTTTGAGCATTCATTTACTGACCAAATGTTTATTGGGCAAATTTTTCAGAAGGAATGGTCAAGTATATGGCTCCCATGCCTTTATAGAAGTTATGTTTTGTTACATGTCAAAAACACACAGTTGTGAAATTTGGTTGGTCCTGTGGTTATTTTTCCCTGTGTTTTTAAAATAGAACCATTTTGTGTACTAGAAAAGCATTTGATCATGTAGTAAGCCACTCACAGCTTACTAGAGAATAATGTTTTGCCAGATTAATTTTTTAAAATGTTGGAGATTTCCTCTTCTCCTGCAAGCTCTGTTTTCACTATGAAATATTTACTAACCTCTGTAACACATGGCAGATATGCATCATTGATGGGTTTTTGGCTTTTATTGCTCAGCCTATTGGAACAGTTCTGCCATACTGAAAGCTCTGCTTTCTACCAGAACAAGCATGTTTTTCAATGCTAAGGCATTTTTCTTTGTCTATAGATGTTGGCTAAACAGGCGTCAGATTGATGGGTCTTTAAATAGAACTCCTCCTGGGTTCTATGACCGAGTGTGGCAGATCCTGGAGCGCACACCTAATGGTATCATCGTGGCTGGGAAGCATTTGCCACAGGTAAACTTCATTGTTGATACTAGGAAAAGAGACCTAAAAGTGTAGAGAATTCTTTCCCTGTCGGTGCTACAAATAACTTCTCTGCTTTGTTTTTCTCTCTCTCTCTTCTCTGTCTCTCTCTCTCTGTCTCTCTATCTTTCTCTCTGTCTCTGTCTCTGTCTCTGTCTCTCTCTCTCTCACACACACACACACACATTTTTGGTGGTGCTAGGAGACAACACACTCAGAAAATGTGCATTCAAATGAAAAAAATTGATTGGGCCTAAGAATCCAAGTTGCCTGGTAATGCAGATAAGGAAATCACTACTTAGGAATTGCACTGAATATGAAAGATGCAGTAAATTTTTAAGACACTGGAGAGATAAACACTTAACTTCACTTGAGGTATAGCTTACCTGTGGTTACCAAATGAATAAATGCCCTCTTCTCCAGATGATTTCCCAAGTTGCATAAACTGGTGACCCATGTTTACGACTCTGAAGCAACCCTGCCTCCTGGGAGCAGAAAGCTGCTGCTCTTGGTGCCCTCTGCTTCTGCTAGGCCTCATCTGTGTATATCTGGGCAGTGCACTGTTGCAACCTGTCATTAGCATCTGGCTCAGTTTCCACTAATACCTACCAGGTTTCATCTGATTCTGTGACAGTCTCGGCCACTTTCATTTACTATCTTTTTTGCTAACAATAATAACAATAAGTGTATTGTGTTATGCTTTTTATGCTCCAGGGACTTTTTATGTTTTCAGTCCTCTTTAACAGTTTTGTAAAAGAAATACTTTACTGTTCTCATTGTATCTAGCAAGTAGTTGGCCCTGGATGTAGCCCCTGGCAGTTTGGCTCTGAGCCTTCTCTCTTAATTTCTCTGCCTTTTCTTTCAGAGAAGTGTCTTGTCTATAGCTTGTTATAATTGCATTGCATAATTGCATAATATCACATCCTTTAATGTGATATGTATATTGAAAGAAAAGTAATGAGAAATCATGAGTTTTCCTTTTACTTTGAAACCTCACTAATCCCATTGTTAGATGTTTAAACAATTGTGTATTTTGGCAAGCAGGCTTCATTTTTCCCAAATTAAATACTACTTGTAAATATTAATGATATGTTAGATATTACTCACTGAAGTACAATAGATGTATTAAATACAAGTCTGAGGAATTGTTAGCCACTGATGAGCAGCTTTGCTCTCACTTGATCACAAGATAACAATCAAGGGGACCCTTACTTCCTTCTGAATAGCAAGTACATAACACAGTTAAAGAGCTGTGGCTAAGTTCACCACAAACCATTGTGATAGAAGCAAATTAGTGTGTAATATCATCTCTCCATGTCTGGGAAGGATTCTAGTGACCTCATCTGTTTTCTACCTTGAAAACCTAACATTTAGATCTTTCCATTCCATTTGAGACTAACTCACCATGGCCAGATTTAGATTTGAATTCATTTTCTGCTTTCACTTGGTTTGTAAAAAGTGCATGGAAGACTGTATAAATACTTCTGTTTTAAATGAGAGACAAAGATCAGAGTTGAGAAAAATCTTTTAGTCTTGCTTCTTTTTTCTGTTACCTTGCCTTTTCTACATATAATATTGTTTTGACTTACTTGTTTGCATTTTTGCTGTAAGTTCAGAAAGGACCTACCACAAAAATGATGTAAATTCAATAGCAAGTGACTTACATGCTAAGTCTGACAACAAGCTTAACTTCCTGTGTTAATTCTGAAAGCTATTAATTATTTTTTTAGTGTTCCTGTTATGTACTGAAATGGCTTTCTAATGTACGCCTTTTCCCCTAAAACCATTAATATGGTGAGAATAACCATTAAAAATGTGGTAGGCTTCAGTACTTTGACATATATAAAATCCAGTCATGGAGCTACAAATGCTCTTGAAGGTTTTATAGGAGCTTGAAGAGATTATTGATTAGAAAGTGAAATTCCCTTATTAAATGAGAAGTATAGTGTAACATTCAACATTTTAATGTGGTGGTATATTTTTTTCAGCAACCAACCCTATCAGATATGACCATGTATGAGATGAATTTTTCTCTCCTTGTTGAAGACATGTTGGGAAATATTGACCAGCCAAAGTACAGACAGATTGTTGTAGAGGTTTGTATTAAAAGACATGGATGGCAGGAGGGGGGGGAAAGGGGGAGAAGTGGGGGTAGGAGGGAAAAACATGTATGGCTGAAGATACACTTTCTATCTCCTTACTGAAACTAGTTTAGGAAAAATGCTCAGGGATCCAAGAATAATGTCCCACACCAGACTGTAAGCTCCCCTAATGTAGTCTCCAAAGAGCCAGCATTCTTCACTCAAGTCAAGGCACATGTAAAAGTCAAATACCTTAAACTCCTTCCATGTGGAAAAACTAATAGCTTAGCCTTTCAGCAACATGCCATAATAGAGAAAGGGATCATTTTATTTTTGGCATTTTTCTGTTTACAAAAATAATACATATTTATTGCAGAAAGTCTCAATAGTTTGGAAAATTATAGAGAACAAAAATTTCTCCACCCCCTGTAGAACTGTTAACTTTTTTGGGGGGGGTCTGGTCATGGGGCCTAAACTCTGGGCCTGGGCACTGTCCCTCAGCTCTTCAGCTCAAAGCTAGCACTCTACCACTTGAGCCACAGTGCCACTTCCGGCTTTTTTCTTTTTGCTTATGTGGTGCTGAGGAATCGAACCCAGGGCCTTGAGCATGCAAGGCAAGTGCTCTAGCACTGAGCCACCTTCCCAGCCCGAACTGTTAGCTTTTTGAAAGACAGCTTTCCTGGCATCTGTCTGTGGAGAAACAATATTAAGGGTGCTGTGTCATCATTGTTTTGGGTAGAGTTAAGTGCTAAAACACATAAACAAATATACATAAGTGCACACACGCCCTCTGTCACTGTAAAACACTCTATCAAGTACAGTAAAGTCTTTCCTGGGAATGTCTCCATTAGACTCTGTTTCCTGAAGGAAGCTCCCACTGATTCTGCAGATGCTGATTAGTTATCTAGGTCAAACGGTAGACATAGAGGTTTTTGTTGTGGACCAAACTGGCCCTTTGCAACAACAGTTCATCTTCCAGCTGAAGCCTGCCACATGGGTCTCCCTGCATTTTACTGAAAGTGTTTCTTTTGTTTCTTTCAAGTCCTGTTTTGGCAACATTTAAATAAAATCCTGATTCCCAAATTGAGTACTAAAAGGTCTGTTAATTTTTCAGGGTGCAAATGAAAGACAAACATCATCTCAGCTTTTACCATATGTAGCATGTTTAGACACAATTTTCACATGTAAGAATTTGTCATCTACAGTGAATATTACTTATGGTGATAAATGTATAGAAAGGCCAAAAAACAGGTTGATGCTTTAAACCAAAGTAGTTTATTCAGACCAAATAGTACTTATATCATAAGAAAGTCAGAGTTACATGTGTTTTTAAAGCACATAGTCATTCTCTAAGTAATTATAGTTGCATTCATTTTGAGGTGATTAGCTCCAAGTCACTTATCATGACAAGAGCTCCAGAGTCTCTCTTAAATCTATCTCCCTTTTTCAGCTTTGTTTCCTACCACCTCTTCACTGGCAGCTTGCTCAAATGGACACTGTATTTGGTGGCTTTCCAAACAGGATTGATGACTGAAGGTCCAAAAACTCTCAGAGACTTGAAAAGAACACCATGTACTATATACAGAGTTTAAAAATAGACATTTTTATGTTATTAGCATTACTTGTCAGCAAAAATTGTATATAGTTATGGAGATATACACACAAACAAGTAATCATTTTCCAAAGATACTTTACGCAACTAATTTTTAAAATTAGGGGATTTCTATCTGTAGATGCTCCTTAAGCCTCTTGCATAATTCAGAAGACACCATAAAATACCAGCATCATCCATCTGTTGGACTAAAGAATGAAAGCATGTCCAGACTTTGTCAGTAATGGCTTTCAATGTCTGTCTCTTTTAGTTACTAATGGTTGTATCTATTGTACTGGAAAGAAACCCTGAACTAGAATTTCAAGACAAAGTAGATCTAGACAGCCTAGTGAAAGAAGCATTTCATGAATTCCAAAAAGATGAGAGTCGGCTGAAAGAAATTGAAAAACAAGTAAGTGGTGAAAACAGCTTTTTGTAGAATTTTTTCATAATTTCAGGTCTTCAAGATATCCCTAATCTCTTATTTAACTTACAAAACAAGATCACAAAATGTAAAACAGAGTATTGAGAGGCAGTCTGACTTATTTGAGAAATTAATGTTGTTTCTTAGTTGATTACTAGTCAGCTCAGCTATACATTAGTGACAAAAAAATCTAAGAAGGGATGAATTTTCTTTATATAGTTGGTAATTAAATGTGCTTTTTTCAGAGAGGTGCCATTGGTTCCAGAATGCTATAAAGTTAAATTCTAAGGAAGATGGAAATGCGAAACAGGCTATATGCTGCCCAATGGAGTCCCTTCTAGGCTCTCTGTTTAATATTTTATAATCATCTGTGGGAAAGGTTCCCTAAGTAAATAAAAATTACCAGCAAAGAGAAGTATACTAAAAATGTCTGTCTTTGCTTTATACGTTCATAATATGCCTCAGGAAAATGAAAGGAAAGCTTAGGAAGCTCATATTTTCCATGAGGAAATCTTTCTGTGAATTTATTTTCCCCCTAGGCTGACACTGATTCTACCTGTCAACTCTTAACACACACACACAAAATCAAATGTCTTACTTACTGTTTTCCTCTGTAGGATGACATGACTTCCTTTTACAACACTCCCCCTCTGGGAAAAAGAGGAACATGCAGCTATTTGACCAAGGTGGTGATGAATCTGCTGCTGGAAGGAGAAGTCAAAGCAAGCAATGAAGACACCTGTCTGGTTAGCTAGTGAGAAGGGATAAGAGAATCTATCAGAACAGCTTTTCTAAAAGTGTGTTGAAGTTTGTGCTGATGCTTCATCAAGGTAGCCATTAATATATGAACTGATCATGCTAGTAAGGTGATTTTGCAATACCCTAGGCAGAGAGAGTAGAACAGTGCATGCCATTGCTAATGTAATGGTCGGAACTACTTTTAATCAAGTGAGAACAAAGTTTTCATGATTATGCCAACTATCCTGAGAAGCTTCACTGAGCAATAGAAATAGTTTATGAATTGAAATTCATACTACTGCATGTTTTATGGTTAAGTAACCCATCAAAATGAATATGATCTCTAGACTGAATTCTCATCTTCTTTGCTAGTAAAATGAACTTGCAAACTAGTAATCAAGGAATAGCAAACATTTTTAAGTGGTATTGTGCTAGAAAAAGATGCTAATATACATCATACAAGCAAGGTTAGTGGCTGATACTTGATTTTCAGAAACTGCATTACTAATAATATTTCAGTATACGGAGTTATATAATTTTTACCTTGTAAACACAACATGATTTGTATTTGTGCTAAGTGTAGGGTTTGGACTAAAATATTATATAATAAATTTACACTTTAACATTTTCTTTGAACTGCCAAAAAACAATAGGATTATTCAGAAATATATTTAGAGCTACTAACATTGTAAAAGCAAAATAAAGTCATTAAATTTTATTTCTGAATTAATAAATGTATTGGGACATATTCTTTGTTCATGTTTCTCATATTGAGTTTAGTACTCCTGAATATTTTCATTTAATTGACTTGGACACAAAATGAAGGGGAATCTATGCCATCTACCATCACACATACTTTACTACCAAATTACTTAAGCAAATGTTAGTAAAAATAGGAAATATCTCAAATATTTAAATTCTATGGATGTATTCCTAAGTGTTACAGTACTGTCTATTAGTTTAAGCCCTATTCCAGTCATTTTTCTGGCCAGTCTAGAGAGTTTCATCTGAGAAATCATGTTTGTTACACAAAGTATGCATCTTATTTGAAATCTGAAAGTATTAAGGATGGACAGGTAATTGTACTAACAAGTTAGTTGATGTCAGATAAATGGGTATGTGAGCACATGGAAAAAATCAGAAGAGCCAGTCACATTTCTTGTAACTTTAAGGTATGATGCCTAGATCTTATTTTTTTAAATGCATATACATTACTTGGTAAAATGAGAATTTTTTTTTAAAAAAAACTAACTTCCCAGAAGATCTTGAGAAGGATATGACAAAGAGGGGAATTAATTAGTTGGCTGGATATGTGAAGAGAATTCATGAAAAGGTAGACCTGAATAATGAAGCTGGTTTGTTGTAATCTATAGGCATAAATAAAAACAAGCATGAAACCAATGGAAAAAAGAACCTAGTCCTGACACTTATGAGCTGGGGAAAGGAAACAAAACAAAAAAAAAAAACCCACCTTGAAATATTTAGCATGTATTAAAATTCCAAAGAAAGCTAACTGGTATCTTTAAGAATTAAAACGTTGTTTTAAATTATTAGTTGAACTAAATTGCCAGAAAACTGCTGTCTTCATTGAAATCAAACCTCATTTTCAAATGCTGTTTTCTGAATGTGTGTTGCTTCTTGCTTACAACTATTCCATATGCAACATTCTTAAAATTTTCTCTGCTTATGGAAGCATTTGAAATTTGTAACATATGTATCAACTTGTTACTTTGAAGAAATTTAAATTTTATTGCTCTAAAGGACACATTGGGATCAATAAATCATGATTTTTACCTAATCAGATATGTTTTCTACTTAAAAAGGCAGAAAAATCTTAAGAATTAGAACACAGAACTCATATGAAATTTAGAAATTTCATTTGGTCTACAGCTCCTACATGCTTTAACAATTGCATCAGAGACTGACTGAAAATATTAACACATTTATCCAGGCATGACAAGATTTAAATCTGATTTAAAGCTTCTTTTATCACTGTGTATGCTTATTGTACAAGCAACGTCTGTTAGAAACTCTGGACTGAGTAGCAAATTGAACTACATTTCCAGAGCATCATTTTGAGACATATTTTCCAGATTTCCTGCCATTTCACTTAAATCTAAAAAAAGCCATATTTCAGTTTTTAAAAATCAGAACATGGGATCATCTTGATCTCATTTTCCATGTGTGATGAGCTTGTGGTGCCTATGGGCACCAGTAAATGTGTGTGGAACCTGAATATGTTTAACTTTCCACAGAAATTGTGAGAGTAGATTCAGGCATGCTTTAGTGCCTTGTGAGCATACATATTAAGTAGATGGCATATAAAAGTACAAGAGTCAACACAATGTGAAAACAATTCTATTGGCAAGAGAGACTCCATTTAAATCAAGGAGAGTTTGAGAAGCATAGTAGAATGCTGCTAGATCATAAAAGTCCCTTATTTTTCGAAATTAAAAATGTAAATGAAAATAAAGAAGGAAAAGAGGAGCAAACGAACAAACTCTAGAAGCTCAGCCTTGTGTCATAAACTGAAAACAAAAGACCTCCTGGAATTAGTATATGCTTTTGGAGATTAAAAAAAAAAAAGATTTTAAAAAAGGCACTGTAATCCTAGCTACTCAGGAGACTGACAAAGCCAGCCCGGGCAAGAAAGTCCATGAGAGTCTTATCTCCAATTAACCACCAGAAAACCAGAGATGGTGCTGTACTCAAGTGGTAAATTGCTAGCCTTGAGCTGAAGAGCTCAGGGACAGTGCCCAGGCCCAGAGTTCAAGCCCACACCCCACCAAAAAAAAAAGGTTTTATGGCTCAGGGATTAGTAAAACACCCCTTCTGGGGCTTAGTGAGCGAGCACAAAGAAAATGGTTGTTTGAGCACCTACAGCTCATACCAGGACACACAGCCCAGAATAAACTAAATGTCAGTCCTGGCTATCCACCCTCTGACACCCTTGTGTATGTAGTGCATAAATTGACTTCCCCAGCCCAGATCTCTAGTGTTTGGGCTAGGAGGGAGGCAGCTGAGGAGCAATGGTGACCATAATCCCTCAGAACTACATACCTCCCAAAGTAGATAGCCTAAGAGCAAGTGCCCCTTAGCTTTAGGTGGGGCATAAGTCTGAATGGTGACTAGATTTGATCACTATACCTCCACCTGTCCCCTCCTTTTTTTAATGTTGGTACTGGGCTTGAACTCAAGGCCTTGAAGTCCCATTTTGACTGTTTTGCTCAAAGGTAATCTCTCCCAATTGAGGCACACCTCTACTTCTGCGGTTTTTTGGTGGTTAATCAGAGAAATGTACTTGTTCCCTGACTTATGTAGCTGTAAATCCTCTGTACATCACCTTTACAATAAAAATTTACAAAAGAAAAAAGTCTCAAAGATGGTAGGCACTGGTGGCTCATGCCTGAAATCCTAGCTACTCAAGAGGCTGAGATCTGAGGATCATGGTTTGAAGCTAGCCCAGGCAGGAAAGTCCATGAGACTCTTATATCCAATTAACCACCACAAAACTGGAAGTGGTGGTGCTGTAGCTCAAAGTGGTAGAGCACTAGACTTCAGTGAAAAAGCTCAGGGACAGTACCCAGGCCCTGAGTTCAAGCCCAATGACCTACAGGAAAAAAAAATAAAGTCTCACAGACTTTCCTGTTTGGGCTAGCTTTAAACTGTGATCCACAGATCTCAGCCGTCTGAGTACCTAGGATTAGAAACATGAGCCACTGTACACCCTCTGCCTCAGATTTTCAGTTATTTGAAACTCAGACCTAAATTCACTTTGCTAAATTGGATCCTATATTCTGTTTTAAAGGAGAAAGCCTTTACAGTATGCATTATTGCACCAGACAGCATGAATTCGGTTGTTTTGTGTTTTTGTTTTTAAATTCGTAACCTAAATAGTCTAAAAAGCAAAACCCCACTCTCTTTCCTCACTTCTCCCCAGAAGTTGCCCTTTGCTCTTCTCTCCAGCAAAGAAAAATGTGAACCAATAGCATTTTGTTCCTACTCCTCACTGGGAATAGTGAACTTAAGGTAGGGCTTTCCATCACCCCATTTCCCTCAGTTGTTTTGTTGTTTTGTATAGCCTCATGTGCTAGGCCAGCTGTCTGCCAACTGAGCCACACCTATAGGTTGGTTCTTTTTCTGGTACTTTTTGTCCTAGGTTTTTTTCTTTCTTTCTGAGGGCAGAATACTCAGACTTGTGTCTTACTGCCTGAGAGGGCTGTTCTGAGAATCAGCTAGGAGAATTCAGACTGTTGAATAGCTTTCAGGTGGGGATGGGAGAAAAGAGAGCAATAGATAAGGTAAATTATAATATGCACATGTAAATTCCATGATGAAACTCCATTGTGTAATTGATACATGCTAAAATGAAAAATGAATGACAGGAAAGTAATACAGTTGCGGGATAAGTACCCATGGCCAAAGGGGGAGGACCAACAAAGGTGAATAGGGGTGAATATTAGCAAAATACTTTATATGCAAATATGAAACCTTTTGAAATTGTTTTCAAATGTGGGAGGGAAATAAAGGAGTTGAGTCTAGTGAAGCACACTATGTATAAATGGAAATGTTATATTGAAAACTCCCTTGTAAACATATATGCTAATTTCTTAAAGGATTTTTTTAAGTGTTGAGACTGGGTAGGAAGAGGTTCAGAAGGCCACCACATTGTTAACTGGATACCTACAAAGCTGCTGTGTTAATTATGAGGAAGATTTTTTAAGACTACATCTAAAATAGATTTTTTTAACTTTAAAAAACAAAGGATAGATAGAACTCATTCTGAAACAAAATTTAATCCAAGAAATAGCACATCCTCCAGAACAAATATCCTATACTCTAAAAGAAATTAAGGAGAAAAGAAATCAATGGTAAAAGAAATCCAAGGCAATGCAATAAGAGAAAAGAGGAAACAAGTTTCATAAATCAGAAACTTCAGAGAATAAAATATACACTGCTAAAATTGAATTGCTGACACATGGGAAAGCTTGGGATAATTCAGTCAAGTGCTTACAAGTATCTAGTATATATTCCAGACACTGTTCTGGCTCCATGATGGGGAAAAAAAATTATTCTCATAGTGTTTGTATTCTAGTTGGATTTAGGCACATGGGTGGTCAGTTGTGCTTTGAAGAAAAACAAGGTAACACAGAGGTAGCACTGAGACTCAGATATACTACCCCAAAGTGTCAGCATGCTAAAGGCTCTGAAGAAACAGTCCTCAACCTTCCATACTACCCTTCTTTTCCTCTCAAGTGCAAGTGGAGACTTTCTCCAAAGTTTACCTGTCTGTCTACTTAAAGTTTGACTTTCCAGAAGATTAATCCACTGAAGAAAAGGCTAGAGTTGACACCACATGCAGAGACTAAGTTGAACTTTACCCTAAACTGATATATTCTTCAAACTCCTTCCCACCGCCCCCCAACAAGGTCATTTCTTTTCTCCATGAAACTGCCTATATCCACCACTTTCCTCTACTGTAAAGAAGATATTTCAGCTGCAAACATCTATTCTTATTTGAGTTTCATATCTGATGTGACTCCTAGTCACGGCTTGTTACGTGGTTGTACAAAGCTTTTAATAAGGTGAGGCTTGGTCAGCAATATGATCACCATGAACACAGAAAAGAGTAGATAGAGGAAGTGAATAAATTTGATCCAGCATAA